TCTTACATCAAATGCCAAGATTCTGTCAACCAGCTGTACCAGAAGCCAAATGAATGGACCAGCAAGGCGATCATGAACATTGCCTCCTCTGGCAAGTTCTCCAGTGACAGAACCATTGCACAGTATGGCCGAGAAATCTGGGGGGTTGAGCCCTCATGGGAGAAGTTGCCTGCTCCCCATGAGCCACGTGATACAGATATTACCAGAGAAGAAGCCAAGTAAACCGGATTCTGCCAGGTTTGTCAAGTCTTCTGGTTGTATAGAGTTTGCCTGTGGGATACAATATGTGATAGAAAGATACAGTTTGTTGGGTATGAACCAGTGCTTTGAGGGATCTCCTTCCGAAGGGAGATCTACAGTCAGTGTTGGATGATCTTTCTCTTGCATTCTTAGTCCTCCTAATAATGTGTACATTTTTGATATTGCTTGTGGTAAAGTGAAGATTGTAATCCATTATCCATTCTCGAAATTGTTAGGCATAAAAGTAATGTTGATATATATATGAATATATAGACAGTATTATACACATTAAGTGATATCATGCCAATTGCCACCTAGTCATGAAAAAAACCTAACCCTCTTTTGTGCCAGCTTAAATTTCTTTTTGTCAGGATTATTAAAAAAAAGCAATCTCATTCTTTCTCTTCAAAACTCATAAGCAAAAATCAAACTTTAATAAAAGGTAATGTGTTTAGATTTGAGTTGTAGTTTATTTAAAATTCTAAAAGATAGATAATTACTATATTTTATAAATATATGGACTTATCTCTAATGACATGCTTGTTATGAGGTACTGTGCAGTTTTATATTTAATTTTATGTCTGCACTGCAGAATAAAGTTGGGTCTCAATATGCTTATTTCTATAATACCTATTTCTTCGGACTACAAAGAAATTACAGATATTGCCCTTTAAAAGCATAAAGGTTGATTGGAAGGTCAGGTGAACATATATTACATTCAGAGATATTATGCAATCCTTTTAAAACTGTTCCTTGTTTACTGGGATTACAAACACAAGGACACGTAAATAGATATTGTCTGGTCTTTTAATTATCAATGAGACAAACGATTATTGTGGTGTACTGTAGGCATAACCTAGAAATGTATTCCCTTAATGAAAAGGATTTAATCTACTGTAATCTTGTTATTCGTTTCATGTAATGCAAACATTGTCATGTGATGGCTTCCTTTGTTAAATTAAGGGCAGTGTATACAGTAAGAACATTAAGGATTTTTTTTTTTTATCTTCATGGCCTCTAGTCAAAGGTGGGCTGGTTCTAGACGGGGTACCTGGCACGGTCGGTTTGTAGGATAATCTTGATGTGCAGTAAAGATATTTAGTAGAGACCAGTCGTCTTTGGTGGGTGGCGGGAATACAGGTGACGATTAATTTGGTCAGAACCAAGTAACTGATAACAGAGCCATTAAGGTCCATATCTAACCTGGGAATAAAGTTACACTACCTGTGACTCTGGTGAACTGACTCCAGCTCCCGCGTGGCCCTTAACTTGTTTTCGTGCGGTCAGGAGCAACAGGTAATTAATTCACTAGTAAACACTGCTCGCTTGTGCCCACGGATACTGTTCGAACACGTAGGCGGATATTTGAGAGTATGAATAAATGGCTCATTGTGTGAGGAAAGTTCCCCTACCCATTTTATATTTTATTTAAATAATTATTATATCAAGGCTTCCACTTTCTAATTAATCCTACATAATTTCTGATTGTCTAGGAAGATATCTTCATGAAACCCATGTTATAATCTTCGATTACATTTCATTTTTGAAGAATGTAACCTAATCATTAAACGAGGGATTTTTATAGCACTTTTAACCATGAAGTGACAAAGTTGAAACTCGGCAAATGTTCATCATTTATAAGTAAATGACTAAGATTACATTCGCTGTGGAAGTTATCTTTAAGAGTAAACATTTCTGCGTAAATTTACGTCGACTCAAACAGCACCACCTTGCAAACAAGTTCACATCTTTTGGTTTGGTTGTTCGAGCTACAAGGGAAACATAACTGACAGTGTATGAAATATAAGTTACTATGAAAAATAAGCGGCCTTTTCTTCTCCATTTTCTTCCGTTTTCGCCACAATACTTTATCATAATGCTCCCTACTTTCAACTCCTTCCCCTTCTAACAACCTTTATCTTATACTATACCCCATCAGTTCCCCTTCTTTACTCTTTTCACTACCATACTACCCTCAAGTACTGTTCAACCTATAACTTTACCCTAATCATTAAACGAGGGATTTTTATAGCACTTTTAACCATGAAGTGACAAAGTTGAAACTCGGCAAATGTTCATCATTTATAAGTAAATGACTAAGATTACATTCGCTGTGGAAGTTATCTTTAAGAGTAAACATTTCTGCGTAAATTTACGTCGACTCAAACAGCACCACCTTGCAAACAAGTTCACATCTTTTGGTTTGGTTGTTCGAGCTACAAGGGAAACATAACTGACAGTGTATGAAATATAAGTTACTATGAAAAATAAGCGGCCTTTTCTTCTCCTTTCCTTTTCCCTTTCTCCATCCCCTTGTTCTGTCCACTTATCCTAATCGCTAAACCATTTTCTTCCGTTTTCGCCACAATACTTTATCATAATGCTCCCTACTTTCAACTCCTTCCCCTTCTAACAACCTTTATCTTATACTATACCCCATCAGTTCCCCTTCTTTACTCTTTTCACTACCATACTACCCTCAAGTACTGTTCAACCTATAACTTTACCCTAATCATTAACTCCTTCTTAACCCTTTTCGTTACTTTACTCTACCATGGCACCATATGACCTTTGATGTCAAAATTACACTTGCTTACCTGGGGGCAAAGACCACAAGCCTCACGCTATCACTATTTTGAAAAAAAAATAATTGCCCTTTATATGTTTCTTTGTTATCTATGCCGAAGAGTGAAACCTCGTTTATCGGTTGAGTCGTTGCTTTGTTAATTTGGCAGGAGAATAAAGCGAATGACGAGACGAGATTTTATTAATAGTGTACCAAATGGGCTGAAAACCAGCTGATGTTCTGCCCACAGGAACATCAATTTTACGCAGTGTTACCAAATCGCGGGCAGAGGTAAGAGTGGCGGTAGAAGCAGAGGAACGACTCGATCCTCAGTAGTGCGGACGCATTCCAAAGTGTCTATCCCTTTTTTGCGGACAAAACCATACTTTTCCATCTCGCTTCTGATAATCACAGTACTTTGTTTCTACGCGTGTACTTGTGTGGATTTCGGTGGCAAACCCGGATAGAATAAAAGTAGACTTTTAGGGTATACGTAGGTCGAAGGTAGATTATTCTGGATAGATATGAGAATAGTTGAGGATAAATAAAGAAAGGTTTTAAAGTAGAGAGATTAGGGTAGATTAAAGGTTTACTGTCAAACTTCAAGACTGCTTTGATATATTGCCATTACTCGTTTAGGATATAAAGCAAACGAAACAATGGTAAAGTAACTTTGAATAATTGCATATTGGCGGATTTTTGCATTTTTAGAAGCCTGAACAGTTTCATTTGAAATTATCGTACTTTTTACTAACAGGTATTGAAAAGCAAATCTCAATCAACTAATTTCTTGGTCAAAATTTAACTAAATCAAGTTATAAGATAATTTATTAGATCAGCATGTTATCAAATCAATGACAAGCTAATAATTAAGATCAACTACGTCAGACAACCATTGGATATATTCACATTTTAGAACAAAGATAAAGATTAAATGTTGGGATTGCTGTATTTTAATATCATATTATAATATTAAAAGCACGTAAGAAATTATTGATATAAAATACTAATCCATATAATAGAACCTAATGCAGATATTCTGTAGGGGAAAAAAATGTAGACAAATTTAACA